TAAGAGGAATTCAACAAACTTATTAGTCGAAAGTCCTTAAGCTCCTCGGCCCCTTCCACCTTTGGTACCAGAGCTATAAAAGTGGTGTTAATAGCCTTATGTAAAACTTCCCGGTGGAAGAATTCTTCGAAGAAACTCAAGAAGTCTGAGCGGAAAGTATCCCAAAATAATTTGAACGGGGCTATGGGGAAACCGTCTGGACCAGGGGCTTTGTCTCCAGCTAAATCATGTAGGGCTTTAAGAATTTCCTCTTCCAAGAATGGACGCTCAAGCCACAGGGCCTGTGTGTCCATCAGAGATAGGAAATCCAAGTCCGCCATTGCCAGTCTGAGGACAACAGGGGCGGTGTAAAGGGCTTGGAAGTAAGAGAGCAAAGCCTGTTCGATGTCATCAGGCTGAACCATATAAGAATTATTCACTTTAATGGTGGAGATAATGTTGTCTCTCCTACGGCAATTTGCTATCCGGTGGAAGAACTGTGAATTCAGGTCTCCAGCTTTAAGCCAGTTAAGTCTAGATCTCTGGAACCAATACAGTTCCTCTTTTTTGAGGGTGGAGAGGTAGTTAGACTTCAATTGACTCCTCGAGTCGAATTCAGCTTCTGTCAATGGTCGTGATTCCTCTGCCCTATCTAGAGCTTGAATGGATGGGAGGAGGGAGGCCTTAGATTGGCAGTAATTCCCAGGGATGGATTTACTCCAAATCTTCAAGGCAGCATTAAGCCTTTGAATTTTGGTTTGGAGTCGAAAACCTGCCCTGCCCGAGACTTGACTAGAGAAGGAATTCCACCAGGCAGGGATGAGGGTAAGGAGAGACTTCTCTTCAAGCCAGGCTAATTCAATGCTAAAAAATATCTTTCTAGAGAATTTTGGAATTATTTTGCTCAAAATGAAATTTTGAATGAAACTTCTTGCATGCGTACTCCTCAATAGAATGGGGTTGATGAAAGCAAAATCGTTTAATCAAAGTAGCCCATTCTGCTCATTAATTTGCATGTTCCAAAGGTTTATTAGGGAGACGCCTTACTAACTGCATGCTATTTAGTTAGTCTTATGCCCTCTTCAGTCTTAAATAGAAAAACACCACACTCAATGCTCTTATCTGACGCCCACTGTTTGTTGTTCCTCCTAAAGTGTTTGGGTGTGTTTGCTTTATTCATATGTTAGGTATTGCCAACGATAAGCTAGATCTTGTAGCTATCACATGTGTGTTTCTCAGATATTCACTCTTCCAAAAATGTTATCGCTACTATCATCCTGGTTAAAAGAAATTTGTTTACGCTGATGTTACCTTTTTGAAATACTCCTTATCGCCTCAAATAGTCCCCACCAGCATGGTTGGGAAAAGTTCAGCAAAATTGTTATAGCACATGGATTTCGAATGTCTATATTGATGATATTATTGTTACTAGCAATGATCAATAAGGAATCAGTCACCTTAAGAGACATCTTAAACAACATGTTCAGACTAAAGTTTTAGGCCTGCTAAGGTATTTTCTAGGAATTGAAGTAGCCAGATCAAAGCGCATTAGTTGTCTCAAAGAAAATATGTGACTGATTTGTTAACAAAAACTAGAATGTTGGGTGCTAGACCAGTGGATACGCTTATGGATTCAAATGCAAAATTATTTGCTAATTAGGGGGGAGTTGTTCAAGGATCCAAGAAGGTACAAAAAACTGGTGGGCAGGCTAATTTATATGAGCATTACTAGGCCCAATATTGCTTTTGCAATAAGTACTGTGAGCCAATTTATGCATGCTTCGAGGACTCCTCACTAGGATGTTGTTCATAGAATTTTAAGCTATCTGAGAAGCCCCAAGTGGAGGTTTGAACCAAATAATCACTTAGCCATTGAGAATTACTCAGATGCTAATTAGGCAGGTCACAATCTGATAGGCGGTCTACCGGAGGTTTTTGTACATCTATTGGTGAAACTTGGTAACATAAGTAAGCAAGAAACAAATATTGTGGCTAGATCTAGTGTAAAAGCTAAATATAGAGCTATGGCATATACTACAATGTGGTTGAAAACACTGATGTAGGAGATGGGGTTTACTGTTGCTAAAACCTATGAAGATGAATTGTGATAATAATGTTGCCACCTATATAGCCAATAATCTAGTGTTTCATGAAAGTACCAAGAAATGTCCTTTTATCTGAGAGTTTATCCGAGAGAAAGTTGCTAGTAAATGGGTGTATACTCCACACATGAATTCTAACGATCAAGTGGCAAACATTTTCACTAAAGGCCTTGGTTGTAATATGTTCCAAACAATTTATTCCAAGCTGGCCATGGGCAACATTCATGCTCTAGCTTGAGGGTCAGTGTTAAAATCCATTGTTATTTAAGTTTTGGACCTAAGTATCCTATATTTTTTGTATGGGCAGTTTAGTCCACAACATATTTCTTTAATAAAATAGGAGGCTGAGAGGTGTGTGAATGTGTTAGACCTCACAGTATTCTCATCTTTTTCTCTCATGCCCCCTCGTATCTCTCTCTTCTCTCTCTCTCTTCATCTTTCTCTTTTCTCTTTTCTCTCTTCTCTCTCTAGGTTCTCTAACAAACACAAAAGTTTCATTGTGATGCATCTTTAAGGTCCCAAAATGGGCCAGTAAAAGGAGTGAGAGGACTCATACTTTAAACATCAGGGATCAAATTCCAAAAAGTTGAGAAATACATTTCTTAAGAGAAAGAAATGCATGTGTGGGAGTGGGAGTGCCACCTTAGATGGAAGATCCTGCCAACTATGATATAGACTCCCAGAAAGTGAAAAAACAGACACAGTAGTGCCTATGTTTGAGGCTCTCAAAGGAACAGTTCAGCAATAAGTCAAAATGCAGGGGATTTAAGCACCTTCCTGAATTTTATGAGTAATTGGCAATTTGGAAAACTCATGGAGAAGAAATAGCATTAAATAAATTGGAAGTCAAAGAATGTTTGAAAGCCCAATCTTTGAGGGATTAGGGCCAAAGAAATTCACAACAATTTTAAATACATGAAATAAATTCCTCTTATAAGTAATAGAAATAAAAAAATGCATATTGATGAACAAAATTCTCCAACCATTAGAAATAAAAAAATGCATATTGATGAACAAAACTCTCCAACCATTACAGCACGTGTGCATTACAAACTCAACAAGACATTGGCTTACAAAGGCCTTTAATCGCACATACAATCGATAAAATGATGATAAAGGTTCTAAGTTGGGCCCAATAGAATGTCTGCTTCCAAACACTATAACCATACAGAATTGATACAGGACAAATGAGATGCTCCTGCATGCTCAAGGAGGTTATATTATTGAAATGAATTGAAAATGGTTTCCAAATCACGACACAGGGAATCCCCTTAGGGGCAAGTGTGAGAATATGGAATGAATAAAATATTCCTCGAGGGAAATATAAAAGCAATCTCTCTCTCTCTC